CTCAGTAATGGTATATGATGGTTTGTTCCAGAGGTAGGTAATGTGCGTAGATCACCACACTAGGTTTCCTATCCCCGATCGAGCTCTGGCAAGGTTAGAAGTGTCTTGGGTCGCTTAGGTCTCCACACCTAAACCCTGCAGGCTACCTCTATCATCATTATGTCACTATCCTTTTCTCCTTTGCTCCAATCCACTTATATTATAATTTTCATGCTCGTTATGTTTGATTTAGTTCCAAGTTACTTTGCTAGTGATTGTGTTCCTTGTCTCTAGTGGATGTCGCCTAGGTGAACGGAGGTCAGTGCTTCCATGCTCCCTTCTCTTGCCCTGCCAAATGGTATGCCCAACAGATGTTGATATCTCCATCATCACTTCCGGATTGTTTTCTAGACTGGCGTTGATATGTCTCCATCATCACCACCGGATTATTTGCCAGACGGCAGTGGTATTCAACTGATTGCTGCTAGATCGAACTCTGACACGACGGTGATGGTAATGACATCACCACCGAATTGAACGCCGATTTGGCAGTGATGAAGTTTACCACCACTGATTTTGAACTAGCAGTGATAATTGAGGCTATCACTAACGACGATGATAAGCGACAGTGAAGGGGAGTTTAGAACCAGCGGTGATGAACTTTTTGTAGTAGTGTACACTTCGGACAAGACCCTTTTCTTGCATGATACAATGTCGGGTGAAACCCCTCTTCACGTGACGCACAGAGCAATTTCCCCTACTCCCCAGCCGCTAGTGTTGATGCATTGATCAACATAGATGATGTAGGTGTACGGGCTTTACCAGCTATTGTCTATTTGTGTTACATGTTCTCTATCAATGAAGAAAATGACATACGAGCCACCCCAATCCTATTGATGCCATTGGCACTATCCTATATAGGGTGTCATGCTTTCGAGTCCCTCTTGCACCCTTAGTTGATTCGTTGTGGTTTGGTTAATGTGGTGGTGTTGCCCAAGGGCATTAACTCTTTATTCATAGGCCCTAGGTTTCGGGGCTGAACCCTACTTAACTTGGGATGACTGCCAATGGCAACAATTAACCAATTCATATAAGTGCCTTACAAGTCGACCAAAAACTTAAGCACCAAGTTGATCTTAGCTGTTGGTTGGTATCAATATCATATCCCAACATCTAGGTATTGTAGCATCATCGATGAATATTGTGCATCGGGCACCCCTTGCTTGTTGTGGCATTTTTTGCGCCTTTCTTTTCCAATCTTGCATTGTGTTGGTGCCACCGCTTCTATTATATTCATTGTAGTCACTTTGGCTATACCCCTAGTCATGTATCTGCTCTGCCTTCCTCAACCCATCACTGAGGCTCGGTCTTGTGGCGATGTCGCTCACTGTCTCTTCCTAGCTAGTGTGGCACGATTAGTTCCTCTTTGGTTTTCATTGGCCTTTCTAAGAATTTTTGTGGCCAAATTTCTGTTGTGGCTTCGTGGAGGATGGATCTTTGGGTCGTAGGTGAAAGCCTTCGTTTTTTGTGCCACTCCTCTCACCGGAGGCATTGTCGTGGTAACCTATAACTTATATTCTTATTTGAAAACCCTGTTCGATTTGTTGAACGGACAATGTAGACGTCGTCCTAGACGTGTTTTCTGGAGTACCTCTCTACGTGTCTACTAGAGTCAGCGCGGGCATTTATTTTGTCTTTGACAATGGATAGCTACTTGCAGCCTGTTCGGCTGGGCTTATACGATCGTGGATTATAAGTTGGAATAGTATTTTTCTCTCACACCAAATCAGCCAAACCAGCCAGCAGTAAATAATCCACGATCGTTTACGACGAAACGAACAGGCTGTTGGTCATATCTCTTTGGTCACTTTGCAGTGCCGGCGTTGTTGCTTCGCCTCTAGTTATGTTTTGGTTCATTGGTTGTTCTTGTTGCTAGCCTGCGCTAGTCGTTCAATGAAATTGGTTCAATGACATGCCCATTTGTTAGAAAAATTGAGTTATATGGTGTTATAATTCTCCTCACCAATCTTCTTTCATACGCATGCCTGGAGATTAATTCTTAACTTTGCTGATTTTTTTTTTAAAAGAGAAGCAGGGTTAGCTGATAAATAGGCGTCGTCATGACAGCCGAGCTGTAGAAATTTGTATATATATATACCCCCGTGGCATGCTGTTGCACAGCTGCAGTGTACCGTACAAATTCCGGCCCTCCTCTAGGCTGTGCGTGCCGCACAGTCCTCACGCTCCACGTAAGCAATTAATCTGTGTGTGCCTAGTGACACAGCCTTGTTGGCCAATCAATCGCGAGGCTCGTACCTTTGTGGCGCCATGTCGTCCTTGCCGGTGCCCGGCGGCGCCGGCGGTGCTGCTAGCGAGCACGACGCCGCCGGCGGCCTCAGAGAGCCGCTGCTCGCGAACGACGGCGGGTTTCACGACGGAGCACTGGCCGAGGTGGTCGTGGCCAATTATGCGCACGGCGGCGGGAGCAGGGCCAAGGAGAAGGACGCCGTGAAGGCCAAGGACGGGTACTGGGTGGACGTCCACCACCAGCCGGCCATGGCGGACGTGGAGAGCGGCGGCGCCGACCGTCCGCTTCTCTTCTCTAACAAGAAGGTCATGGCGGCCCTCCTCTACCCGTACAGGTGCGTGGTGCTTGCACAGTTGCACACAAAAGTTGAATGTGATCTCTTAGATGATACGTATATGGTAGATGGATAATATATTAATATCGTAATGATAGTGTAAATGAAGGGAAACGCTAGACAACAACCAGATGTTTTTAAGCTAGCTACACCAATGACTTGCTCACTTGCATTCAGTTCGGGAGGCAAAACATGAATAAATGAATAACGCGACTTCTGCACCGTAATGCAGTTTTGGGACTTTGGGGGTGGGGGGCTTAAGGTTGCAGTGCCCCCCCTCAACTACTTAGTTAATTTGTAATTAGTCAGTTAATAATGCTAACTAGTGTTTTAATTATTTGCTCTTCTTTAGTTAATTTTTAATTAGCTAGTTAATAATGCTTATTAGTGTTTCCATTGTTTGTTCTTCCTTGGTAATAGTCTCTAATGGTATCCATATAACGTAGGATTGGTTTTTCTATTATCTTTTATTATTATTATTATTATTCCTTTTGTCCTCTATTCTAGTCAGCTAGTTAGTAAATGTAATTAGTGCTTTGCTTGTTCGTTCTCCCACCGTATTTATCTCCAACGACATTATTTATATTATTAAGGATTACTCTTCCTGTTATCTTCCTCATCTCCTTTGTTCTTTTTATTATCATGTTTTTTTGCCTAAAAATTAAATAGATTTGGTGGATGTTAGAGACTTAGGGATAATTAAATTGTGTCCCCCTTTTCTTTGTAATTTTCAGTTTTTTTTTACCATTGCCATGTATCTACTTCATCACGTATGATTGTTGCCGGCTTGAATGGCCCTTTATGTTCAAAAAAAGGTTGAATGCCCCTTCTATGTCCAAATCCAGGCTCCACTCCTGCCGTAGTGGATTATATGTTCAAAACGTTGAAATAGTGATAAGCCAAATTTGACAGAACTCAAAATGTTTCCCTCAACGGGTTCGAACTTATGTATCGTGGAACATTTAGAAGGAAAGAAACCAAAGAACATTCCAAACATAAGGATTCACAGCCATCCTAGATAGTTGTCTTAGCTTATCAAAGATGATATCAAGCAATTCAACTTTGACTTTGTGATGTGATCAGAAGCTAGCTCTTCTTAGTTTTTGTTGTTGTGTGTTTTATTTCGTTGGTGGTTGGGGCTGTTTTTGGTTGAATCTTTTTGTTCGTTGGTAGTCGTGGCCGAGCCGTTTGGTGGTGTTGTATCTTGCTCTCCTTTTGTTTCCCTTTTCTCTCATCTAATAAAAGTCATGGCAATTCTCTTGCCATGCCATGGAAAGATAAAAAAGCATTGAAACAGAGTTTGAAGGAGTGAAAGTTGACCAAAAGGTCTGGATGATACTGAACTTGGGCATTAGTTAAAAAATGCAGAGGCAAAGAAATGAAACCAAAACAAGATCACCAAGGTCGTTTGTGGGTGTGGGTGTGGGGGGTGCGGGGGGCATGGAAATTTGCTGAAATAATCCTGTATGCAAAGCCTCGTCCCTTTACTGAAAAGCAGAGCACTACAGTTGAATCTGATTCTGCATTCATCTTATCTTAAATGAAAACGTGCAGATTGTAGTCCATACAATTTTCTTTTTTTCTGACAATGGTATCTTTAAAAGAACCCATAGCTGTACGAAAGCGGCATCTTTCAGGAACCAGTACCCTTATGCATGCCACTTTCCACTTGTGACAAACAGGGTACTGATTCTGGTACGCCTCGTCGCCGTCATCCTATTCATCGCCTGGCGCATCAAGCACAACAACTCCGACGTCATGTGGTTCTGGGTGACCTCCGTCGTCGGCGACGTCTGGTTCGCCCTGTCGTGGCTGCTCTACCAACTCCCAAAGTTCAGCCCCATCAAACGGACACCCGACCTCGCCGCGCTCCGGCAGCACTACGACGAGCTCCTCTCCGACGGCGGCGGCGGCGGCTCCATCCTCCCGGGCATCGACGTCTTCGTCACCACCGCCGACCCCGTGAGCGAGCCGGTGCTGTACACCATGAACTGCGTGCTCTCCATCCTGGCCACCGACTACCCCGTGGACCGGCTCACGTGCTACCTGACTGACGACAGCGGCGCGCTGGTCCTGTACGAGGCGCTGGTCGAGGCCGCGAGCTTCGCCGCCCTGTGGGTGCCCTTCTGCCGGAAGCACTCCGTCGAGCCGAGAGCGCCGGAGGGCTACTTCCAGCTGGAGGGGATGATCTATAACGGGAGGTCGCCGGGTGAGTTCATGAATGACTATAGGCATGTGCAGAGGGAGTACGAGGAGCTGAAGGTGAGGCTGGAGATGCTCCCTAGCACCATCAAGGAGAGGTCAGATGTGTACAACAGCATGAAAGCAAAGGAAGGGCTGCACATGCGACGTGGATGGCTAATGGCACGCAGTGGCCAGGCACTTGGATTGAGCCAGCAGAAAACCACAGGAAAGGAGACCATGCTGGCATTGTCAAGGTATGTACTTATGACCAACTGCAAACTTCACTCTAGTCTAGTGTATGGCATAGCTAATTCCTAAATAGTAATCTGTGTTTTTCTTGCTGTGACAGATTGTGCAAAACCACCTGAGCTGTGAGCCTCCTCCAGCAGAGGGCGGCAACAACATCAACCCCGGCCTCAACTTTGACGGGGCGGACACTCGGCTCCCGATGGTCGTGTACGTGTCCCGCGAGAAGAGCCCGGGCCGAGACCACAACAAGAAGGCGCGGGCAACCTGAACGCGCAGCTGCGCGTGTCGGCGCTGCTCTCCAACGCGCCCTTCACCATCAACTTCGACTGCGACCACTACATCAACAACTCGCAGGCGCTGCGAGCGGCCATGTGCTTCATGCTGGACGCGAGGGAGGGCGACAACACCGGCTTCGTCCAGTTCCCGCAGCGGTTCGAGAACGTCGACCCCACGGACCGGTACGGCAACCACAACAGGGTCTTCTTCGACGGCGCCATGTACGCGCTCAACGGCCTCCAGGGGCCGACGTACCTCGGCACCGGCTGCATGTTCCGCCGCCTCGCGCTCTACGGCGTCGACCCGCCTCGCTGGAGATCCGACGAGGACATCACGGTTGACAGCGACAAGTTCGGTAACTCCGTGCTCTTCTTGAACTCGGTCTTGGCAGCTCTGAAGCAGGAGCGCCGCATCGCGCCTCCTGAGCTAGACGAGGCGTTCCTCGCCGAGATGACCATGGTCGTGTCGTCGTCGTACGACCAAGGGACGCACTGGGGCAGCAGCGTTGGGTACATATACAACATTGCAACCGAGGACATAGTGACCGGCTATCGCATCCACGGGCAAGGGTGGCGCTCCATGTACTGCAGCATGGAGCGTGAGGCCTTCCAAGGCACTGCACCGATCAACCTCACCGAGCGCCTCTACCAGATCGTCCGGTGGTCCGGTGGATCCATGGAGGTGTTCTTCTCCCCTTACAACCCGCTGCTCTCCGGCCGCCGTCTGCACCTCCTGCAGCGGGCGGCGTACCTGAACTTCACCATCTACCCTGTCACGTCCGTCTTCGTCCTGCTCTACGCCTTCTGTCCGGTGATGTGGCTGATCCCGGCTGAAATCATCATTCAGAGGCCGTTCACTAGCTATGTGCTGTACCTCGTCGTCGTCGTCGGCCTAATCCACACCATCGGCGTCTTCGAGATAAAGTGGGCAGGGATCAAGTGGAACGACTGGTGGCGCAACGAGCAGTTCTTCATGATCGCCTCCATGAGCGCGTACCCGACGGCGGTGCTGCACATGGTGGTGAAGCCCATCACGGGGAAGGGCATCCACTTCAGGGTCACCTCGAAGCAGACGACGACGACGGCAGCTGACGACGACGGCGACGACAGGTACGCCGACATGTACGAGATGCGGTGGGTGCCCATGCTGATCCCGCCGGCGGTGGTGTTGTTCTCCAATGTCATGGCCATCGGCGTGGCTCTGGGCAAAGCGGTCGTGTACAACGGAGCGTGGTCTGCGGTGCAGAAGAGGCATGCGGCTCTGGGTATTCTCTTCAACGTGTGGATCATGGCGCTCCTCTATCCTTTTGGGTTGGCGGTTATGGGCCGGTGGAGCAAGAAACCTGGCATCCTCTTCGTCTTGTTGCCGCTGGCATTTGTGGTCATTGCAGCTGTGTACATTTGTGCTCATTCTTTTCTTGTCAAATTTCTTCCATTTATGGTGATATAGCAAAGTCGTTGTAATTTTAGTTGACAATACTACAGAATCATCGATCAATAATTGAGCAACTGTATGTATACACGGGAAAAAAATAATTTATAAATCGTCGTACAAGGTCATATCTCTTGTAGTGTGGTAAACGAATTTTTTGTGCAGCCGCTACTGTGGGGACCCACCTAGGTTAACTAGGTTAAACCGAGTATTATCTACTTAACCAACTCAGCTTAAACTAACGGTAATGCTATAGAACATACGTCCAGAATCTTAAAAAAATCGGACCTTCTGCTCTGCACTCGCTCCAGCACAGCGACCGGCCCACAGGCCCATCTACGCTTTCTTCTCTATCTACTCCATCTACACTACGACAGCCGACAGAAATCCCCAACTGCTCGCTTCGTTCGTTGCGGCTCACCATGCCGTCCGCCTACCCCAAGCCGCCTCGCGGTGACGCCCAAATCCCACGTCGAGCTACGCCATGTGTGCCACCGCGCCGTGCTCCATCCCCCGCCATGCCCACTCCGCCTCGTCATGCCGTGCCCGGTCCCCTCCCCTACGCGCCGTGCCCCGTCCCTCGCCAGCCGAGGTGCTACCGATGCCACCGTTCCCCACCAGGTTGTCGTGGCCGCTGTCGACGCCAGCGCCGCCGCGACGCTCGACCTCAGCTCGTGACATCATGAGATCCTGAGTGGCTAGACCCGGAGCGGGTTTCTCCGGCTGCACCTCGCGCTCTCTTCCTTCCTCGGATGTTGTAAGCACGTGTTGCAAACGTATGTTTCAAGTGTTTCAGGTGTGTTTCTTATGCATGTTGCAAGTGTTTCTTGTGGTTGTTGCAAAAGTAGATCGGGATGTTGTATATGTTGCAATGGCTATACACGTATGTTGCAAGCGTCTATTCCAAATGTTTTGGCTGTTTCAGATAGATGTTGCACGTGTTTTATCTAGATGTTGCATATATTTCACACTTATGTTGCAAGTGTTTCATCTAGATGTTGCATATATTTTCACACATATGTTGCAAGTGTTTCATCTATATGTTGCATATGTTTTGCAATGGCTACACACGTGTTTCCCTTGTGTTTCAAACGTATGTTGCAAGTGTTTTAACTGTTTTTCGGACGTATGTTGCAATGTTTCCTCTAGATGTTGCAAAAGTAGATCTGGTGTTCCAGATGTTGCAGGGAACCCCATCTGCAATAGCTGCCTGCTGTAGCTGCTGGGCCTGCCTGCATGCTCGTGGGTGTGGAGGGGGCGCGAGCGGCAAACATGGAAAACTATGCGGGCGCAGATCGAGACAGAGTGGGCGTGGGACACGGAACTGTATGGGACCCCACATGAAACAGGCGTGTGGCGCTAGCGTCCGGATGCTAGCCCCTGTCCAGACGTCCGGGAGCTAGCTTTTCCTTTAAACTAACTAATCCAACCATTCCCTAAAGATACACCGTTCATACTCCACTAGCAAAAACACAGAACCATGACTATAGTAAATGCAAAGATGACTACTGAAACTCAATATTTATTGTTAGATATGTATTGAACACGTGCACTCTGGTTATGCTATGACTTGAGTTGTATTAGGAGTTATGATAGAATTGGAGTCGAATTCTATGTCCTAGGGGTCATAAATATGAGACAACCCTTGTTGTAACCGATGAGATGAGTTGGCAGCTGGTTCGGATGATGATTAGGACACAATAGCATCCGAATGCCGGTGTAACTGCTGTTTTACGGTGAAGAGCACCTGTAGTCAAATGCCCCAAGGATGTAGGCTGATGGTCAAAGCTTGTCAAAAAACATCATGTCTCGCCATCGTTCTTGCTTGCGTATTTTTTCTGTAGTGTTTAGCATTCTTCGATTACTAGATTTGTTTAAGTATGCATCTAACCGTGCACTCTAAAAGTTTTAATCAACACGGTAACAAACGCTTAAGAAAGTATTCAAAGTTAGCAAGCTTGTGTAGTCACAACTCACAACCATTTGGTGGACAGGCAGCCTCAACTCGCCATCCAGGGTGCCCTTGGTGTTTCCCACGCACCTCTCGCCCTTCACGTGCTTGCTCCTCCCTCTTCTGCTGCGATATGCCCACCTCCATCATCTCGATGAGGGGCCATCTTCCTTAGCGGGGGCTGCGTGTCCCTCGCCGGAGCCCGTGAGGGAGTGGAAGAAGTATGCAACCTTGTCCACCAAGCCAAACTCTGGGTCATGTTGGATTCTAATAGGGCTTAGCCAAATTTTATTTAATTAAAATCAAATAGAGAGGACGAAGAGTGAGCGGTTTCAGGAGGAGAAAGATGGTGGGAGAGAGGGGGAGTGAACAATTAGGGTTAATGGGTTGGGTCAAACCGCCTTGGCCGAGCCAGGGGCAAAATAATCCACTCAAAGAATCTTCTTCTCTCTCTAGAAACAGTGAAAATCATATTCTATGTGGGAGATGTGTTACAACAAGCACGATCTAATAATGATTCTTGGCCATTTTGATGTTGGTGTGATGCAGACAAAATGGCCGAGTATCATTATTAGATCGTGACCCATCTCGCACAATAGAATATGATTTTCCACCAGCAGGCCGAAATCGCATGACCCCAAGTGAGCTAAAGTGGTCTAAAATTTGGCCTTTAACTTTAGCCAATGGTCTAAAGTGATGTTTAAATTTTAGCCAATCTAATAAAAACACCTTAGTTTATTAAACCAGGTGAGCTAAAATGGTTTAAAATTTAGCCCTTAACTTTAGCCAACTAAACTTTAAACCATGAGATCCAAATATGGTCTTAGTTGTTAGTTGCCGCCTTGTAGGCACCTTGACGCTTGTGCATCGAATATGCGCCACAGCTGAATAGGGGATGTGCGTCCGTGGCGGGGCGTCTTTTTACATTTTTTTTATTTCTCTCATCTGGATACAGCTATAGCATCTGTTCATGCACAAATATACACCCATGCTACTTATGCACACCTCACTCACACTGTACGTGCATAACTAGACATACAACTACACATATCAGTAGACCGCGTCCTTAGAGATCACCAGAACCGTCCATGGCTTCATAGGCGACAGACGTGTCGCAATCCCTTTATAGCTCTACGCGCAAGAGAGACTGCAAACTATTATTGGGGATAAATCTCCGTGAGAAGTGCAAGTCCTATTCTAGAATTGAAATCCTTTTGTGGCTCGACGCTCGGTTCTCGTCCCTTTACATTTGCTATAAAGAATCATATATATGCTACCCACGTCCTGTTCATGGTTACATTGGCAGGTATATCATGCTGCCGATTCGTTAAATAACGACGCACAGACGGTTCCAAATTTCCATGCATTCGTTGCGTTTTGTCAGTGTATAGGACGGACCATGCAGGAACGAGGGAATCCGTCCAGGTACGTTGTCTTCCTACGTGCCTAGCTACTTCCCTATACTTTTTTTACTAACGTGCACGTGCTGGAAAACTGATACTCGGGCAGGGATGGAATATAATTGCAGTACACGCACCATGCATTTCAGGAACACATTCATGCATATGCACCATAGGAAGGACTTAGGGCCTTTTTGGCGGAGTTTCATTAGCTCCACATCCAACTAGATCCACCAAATTCACCTGGAGCAGTTCCACCGTGGATCTAGAATTCGTTAAAGTGTTGATACAGCTCCATGCTTATTTCTATCTCCCAGCCAACCTAGGCCGCCGGATCCGCCTCCGCTGGAGCGCCAGAGACGTCGTCGTCGATCTGCGAGGGAGGGAGGGAGGGTGAGGGACGGATCGCACTGGATCTGAGAGGAGAGAGAGAGAGAGAGTGAGGGGCATACCTCTTCTACTGCCGCCGGTCACCGCCGCCGCCCTTGATCTATGCTGTGCCCTCCACGCCGCCGGGACTCGAGGCCCCTGCCGCCACCGGCCAGGGCGCGAGGCTAGCGCCGCCGTGCCCTCCACGCCGCTGCCTGGGAGCGAGGAGAGCAGCGCCGTCACCGACGCCAAGTGAGGGAGGGAGAAGGGGAGCGCGCGCTAGCCTGCTACGCCGCTGCGCGGGTAAGGAGGGTGCAGCCATGCCGTGCGACGAGGGAGGGAGGAGGGAGGGAGGGAGAGAGAGGGAGGGGGAGGCTGTAACACCCTAGGTGTTACAAACTTAATAAAATCTTGATCATGATCATCATCATGAATAAGCATCGTGGCATAAATGCATTTCATGTTTCAATTATAGTATTTTTATGTTGCATGTATGGTGTTTTACATGTTTCATGAAATGATATCAATAATAGTGTTTAATGTTCTTTGTGATTTTATATATGTGAATTTGGCTAAACAATTAAAATTTTGCTAAAATAAACTTTATAGTTTAAAGTGTGCTCTTTAATATAGAACAAAAGTTTGTTTGAGTTTCTAAGTTAAAAATGTTTAATTTGGAGCCCAAAGATTGGATTTGGGGCTGATTTTCAAACTTAGCCATTCTTGCCCGTCCCTAAATTTCAGTGTTAAGTTCAATCTTTGGTGATTTATTGAGTCAATTTTCATAAATAAAACTTGTGCAACTTTTGTTCCATGGCTTGGTGTGATACTTGCTCTTTGTTACTGTGTAATTTGTTGTTAAGTTTGATAGATGTTAACCTTTAATTAATTGCTCAATGATGCTAACTGAAACAGTTTCAAAACCCTAACTGAAAGATCAGTTGGGCAGTTTCAAAGTGCTCCTCTTCTCAAATAAAAAACTTCAAAACCCTTGATCTTTTGGGGTGGGTGTTTTAAGCAAAGATGGAGATCAATTATAGGTGAACAACTTTTATTCTTGGCGATGATCATGTTGTTGCACAGAATCGTGAGAACGAGCGAGCTCAAGATGGGGTTTTCAGTCGGCTACAGTAGAACCGGCAGCAGCTCGCGTACCTCGTCACCGCCGTGCGGCGTTTGGCCGCGCCTTCGCGACGTTTCCTACGCGGACGCCTGCGTTGCCAAGCTTGCGAAGACGTAGACGTGCTAGAGTTCGCCCCCTCATCGTTTAATGCTCGAGCCAGCCGCCGTGTTCTCCT